AAATAAATGAATAAATTTATAAATAAATTTATTCATTTAAATATTAAATAAATTCACTAGTAACCAAAAATATATAAAATGTGAAAATATGTCTTTTTTGTAATCAGCATGGACTTATGGAATAGAATAACAGTTAATGTCATCTGGTTTACATTTCCATATCAAAAAGACATTAATTAGTTAGAAATAGGCATATTATTTTATTAATAATTATAAAACAAAAAACTTCTATTATATTTATATATTGTCATATATGTATTGTACATTAAACATATCTTTACATCAAAAGAAATACTATTGAAGCATACAACAATTATTTACAGAAAAGAAATCTTCATAAAGGCTCTTTCTGTAGTTAAAAAATGAATTAGTAATCAATCAGTTCATTGTTCTCAAAAATTGCTGCATCTCTATGAAGTATGTAGTTGATTAATTTTTTTGCACAAATGAATAGAGATTTTGTGAAAATATTCTTTAATAATGGTTTCCTGCAGCAATACATCTGCATAAGGCAATTACCCTAAAACATTACACTAAACAAGGAAAAAATTGTGAATGATATTTGACTAACATAATGAAATTGTAAATCTTGCAATACTTTTAGTTAATAATGTATGTTATTTAAAGAATAATGAATTTGATAAAGTTATTTACACAAGTAATTTATAATAATTTTTTTATTGTAATAAATATTCAAAACATTATTAAATATTCTATTTATGTATGTAATTATGATATAAAAAATAGTACATTTTCCTCAATATATAAAGTCTTTCATTACCTACTTTTCAATTTAGTAGTAAATTATTATCTATATTAGATAGATTGAATATTAAGATTATTAGATAACTTAAATAAAACAACAAGATATAATTAATTTGATAATTTTAGTTTAAAATCATTATGAAAATATTATCTTTGATTTATGAAGACAAGAAATGTTTTTCTTTCCATACAAAATTTGTTTCATTTCTTTAATTTGGCTTTCAATACAAAGACAATATTAATTGTTATAAAAAGATATACACAATAAATTTCAATGTTTTGTATGTATATATTAGAGATGCCACGAATATTCGGCTACTATTCGGTATTCGGCCTATTCGGCTACTTTTTTTAATATTCGGTATTCGGCCCAATAGTATGCAACATTCGGCCGAATACCGAATACCAAATCATGAAAAAAAACCGCACATATTACTCAAAAACGTATTTATTTTAATCATAAATTATTACATTTAATACTTAAAATCTATCAGTGGTAAGTTGTAATGAATGAAAACAATTTTTTCAGCATTTGTTGATAGCAAACGATTGCGCTTTTCCTCATAAACTATACCTGCTTCTGAAAATAGCCTCTCACTATATACACTACTGCCGGGAGACGATAGATAAATCTTAGCGAATTCTGTCAGGCTTGGATACTGTTTTGCGTTTGCTGACCACCACTTGTAAAGGTCTGCCGTCCGATCTAGGCGAACAGTTTTCATATAAAGTGATACAGTGATATTTTTTAGTAATAATTAGTAACGCAATTTGATGTAACAATGAACAAATAATGCATGTTGTGACATGATCTACTCGCAAATAAAACAAATGTGCCCGCAGTGTCGCTACCGCACCCACCGCAATGTATCAGGTCGTAACATATCACCCGCGAAATGTACACATATTTTGCCGAACATTCGGCCGCCGAATATTCGGCGCTTCGGCCAAGAGCGTAGCCGAATGTTCGGTATTCAGTATTCGGCAAAATCACTATTCGTGGCATCACTAGTATATATCCATCAATAATTTTCATAGAAAATGGAACATCTGGTCAATTAACTACTTTTTAATCTTTTAATCAACATGTTAAATATTCAAGACTGCTTTCATTGTAAATTTCGCTTGTTGCTTTATTATATCATTTGTTTTGGCCATAAATTTATTAATATGCAGCTGTCTTAGCTTTATAATTAGTTTATAAAGAATGATCTTGGTAACATATTCAAAAATAGAATCCATCATCATCAAGTTGCAAGAGTTCTGTAATATTAAATTCAAGTGAGTTTAAATTTTATGTAAGTTTCACATTTACATTTTGTTATATCCCAATGGCAGATACTTGGAAGTCTGAAAGTATAGGAAAGTTTCTTGTCTTCTAATCATTTTGACTTTAATAAAGAATATTTTTATTTCTCTTAAAGTTTTAAGTATTGTTAAGTATTTTTATTATTAATTGAGACAATTTGTCTAAGTTATTGAACTTTACATGCTAATATTTTTTCTTTTGTAGTTCATATGCAATGGTGTTTCTTTTTTATCAAATTATGAAAAAGAATTGTATCGAAATTGTAAAGATGGTTCCACCTTAGATGTCTTTCATTTACTGGCTCACTATAAATTAGTAGTTGATTTACTACAGAGATTTTTTTGGTAATGAAGTTTTGACTAAAGAATTGTTTGAAAGAATTAAAGGTAAGAAATATTACTGTTATAAACTGTTTTGTTTTATGCATGAGATACATAAACTTTTACACTGGTGGAAATACTAAAAAATTATATAAAGAATTCTAGAACATCAGCATTCAGTAAATATTAAGATTGATACAGAACTTAAGCATATCTACCTCCAAAGTTAATCCCAGCTTGAACTAATTGAAAACTTTTTATCAGCTAAGATTTATTTCTGTAATTTCCTTACACATACAATTCTCTACTTTTTTTAGATTAAGTGAAAATGGAACTTAAATCCTTTTAATTTCAGGCTTTCCTATACAATAGTATCTATTGCAATGTTGTTTATATCTTTAAGGATTGATTGGAAAATCCAAGAGTACTATATTGTTTTAATCTCTAAACAAGCAAAGAACTGTACATGTTTAAGGAAATTGAAGAAATATATTTAGAGTGATTCTCTTTGTTATTATATTCATTATTTTCCAGTTCTCCAAATTTACTAACTTGATTAAAAATAACCATGTTGATCACATATGTTATTTATTCCTTTATAAACACAAGTTTATGAAGTTTGTTAGCCTTATGTTTATAAGAATTTTATTTTTTCTAATTTGAAAAATGTTATATTAAGCTATTGAATTCTATTTTACTATACTATTAAGTAAATAGAAAAAATTTCTATTTTAATCAAAACATAAATAAATAATATTTAATTTAAGAAATTGAGTATTGTTATTATCTTTTATTTTTTTAGTTACAATAGAATTTATTTTGTAATTGTATTAATTAATTTCCTTAAAAAATAAATCTAATTATTACTTGATTTTCAGGTATTTCTGGTTCTTTTCTCTTTAAGCTACCAGCCACTACCAAAACTGATTTTATAGCTCTAAGACCCCAGTCATAATGATCTTGTTTAGACAACAATTCTTTGCATAATGAATATAATGTAATAAATTTCTGTGACAAAATCTGAGCTTCCATAAAACCTTCTGCTACAAGCAAAATTTCACAAATAAGATCAAAATCAGGAACCACCATTGCACAAGGTCTGTAAAAATAAT